GATGTAAGCCTTAAAACTAATTTAGCATTAAATTCTTTGGTGCTTTGGTTTTTCATATTGATGACTTAAAAATCCACTCTTTCTCATTTACCTGGACAGACTAATAAAGTATCTTCAGAACCTCATGGACTTTTCTATTTAGATGCTCCGTCAGCATCTGTCTGTCTACTAATCCAATTAGTGAAGCCTGCAACAGAAGTAGGGGGAGTGACTCCTTCTGTTTATTCATGTAAAGAACCTGTATGTATGAAGAACTTATATGTTTCCATCTTGTTCATCTTCAATCTGACCTCTGATTAAATGTGACAAAATTTCTCTTTTGTTGGCTTGCTTGTTACCTGGCAACAAGAATTTTACCTGTTGGCTTGCTTGTTACCTGGCAGCAAGATTTTTACCTGTTGGCTTGCTTGTTATCTGGCAGCAAGAATTTTAACTATTGCCCCCTCATCATCTGTCTTTCAATTGGTTTTTACTGTAGTTCTTACTGTGGAAAATAATGGCTCTGCATCTGCTAGATAAATTTAGCTAATCATTGGCATTGCAATTAATGCTTGATATTTTAGTTTTTGGGCCGGGGTGATTAACCATTAGCTGAGATGGTGGAGCATTTGGTCTTTCTCTTACAGCAAGATAATTGTGAAATTAGTAATTCTTCAGTGGATTTTCATCCATGTTCATTCATCTATGCTCCTACTGCTACATATTACCATACTTTCTTTTATCTATGCTTCCTTACAAATTATAAATGACTTCTATTTTGCTTGCATTGATCCTTTTGTTACGCTAATGTTTTGGATCAGTTGATTATGAAATTGTTTCTCATAGGTGATTAGAATTCAATGTTTTGGTACGTCTAGTACGAAGGGATGTTTATTTCTCAGAAATATTAATCGACTGGAGTTTGGTGAACGTTGACATTTTAAAAGATGAGAGAAAACAAAGCAATAAAAAAACCTGGTGATGCAGCTGTTGTGCATTTGAACTTAAATTGTTACATTGCATGCTAAGTGTTCTCATTTTAGTGAAGAGATGATTAGGAAAGTCTATAAATAATTTAAAGGCAAAAATATGACATAAGGACCTGAACTTACACCAAATTCGCAATTTCGGACCCAAACTTCAATTGCACTCAATGAAGGTCCCGAACTCCACGAAATTCTCAAATAAGTACCCAATTGGACGGAAAACTAACTTCCGTTAAATCTCATATTATTCCGTTACATTTCACACCTGAAAAAAATTGGTTAAATGCTAATTTTGGTCCCTCAACTTCATTGAGTTTCACTTTTTTTCTCCCTCAACTTCATTAAATTTCACTTTTCTATCCCTCAACTTTATTAAATTGTACTTTTTTGGTTCATAAACTATTTTTTGTATTTTTTTGGTCCTTAAATTATTTTTTACCTTTTTTTAATCCTTTAACTTTAATAACTGCACAATTTTGATACTTTTATCCGTTTAAGTCATTAACTCTGTCCACTTGGTATTTTTTATATTTTTTTGATGACATATATAATCTAACTAGAAAAAAATGATAACATGGATAAATAAAATAACATGTAGATAAATCTTTATACTTTTTACAGTTTAAGTCATTAACTCTGTCCACTTGGTATTTTTTATATTTTTTTGATGACATGTATAATATAACTGAAAAAAAATAATAACATAGATCATC